TTTGCTTTTAAAATTAACACTGTTTAAACTATGTAATATTTACCTTGACATAACCACACTTTTCATCTATGTTGTAACGATAGCGTTTAAAATCTAATGTGAGAAATTATATTTCGTACAGACAGTATATCTATATATACTACAGCACGTTCAGCCTGCTAGTCGCGAAGAGAGTAGCCACCGCGCACATACTGCGCGTCGCGGCAACGTCACGCTCCCCACCGCGAAACTTACCTGGATAACGACCAGACTTCTATATACTTTGCTCGCACGGACAATTTCCTCAGTTCGCCGTCGAACTGACTCGGGGCTTGCTCCGAGGAAGATCGACGACAACTCTCTCCTTCTTTTCTCTCTTTCCTTTCTACCTGGTGCAAGCAGGCGGTATCTCAGGTACAACTGGGGCTGCTAGCTTGCACTAATTCTTTCTCTCTACCTGGAGCGAGCAGGCGGTATCTCAGGTACAACTGGGGCTGCTAGTTTGCACCACTTCCTAGAGGGATCTGCACTCGAGACTCAGGTACAACTGTGCAAACTCAGGGCCATGGTTGTACGTTGTTAAAATGAAAACAGAAACAGTTTGAAAGTTCAAACGCTCATCTCGAAACAAACCATAATAATTTTTCCGGATCTAATTTTTGTGTTTTGAAATGTATAAAATCTTTATGTGAGGGAAGTAATTCACAAATGTAAGTTTGAGGTTATGTAGAAATTTTTTTTTAAAGAGTGACGCTAAAAACACCTGTTTTTTAGCCCATTTTTCGGACCGCGAATTTTTCAATCAAACATATTCTAAAATGCGCCGTATAAAGGGTTATTAATTTCATAACCATTTTGAGTGGAGCATATCCTTTGTTTTTTGGATATAGTGTTAAAATGGGGGTTTAGAGGGGTTAAAAGGGGTTAAAATACCAAAAATTAAATATGCTCAGATTCGCTGGAAACTGGTTACTCGGGGGTTTTCGGGGTCGCTGATTACGAATCCAATGTCAGTTTTTCAAAATTCAAAATGGAGGATCTAATATGGCGGACGACTTCTTCTAAAATTGATCAGATTTGCTTGAAATTAATTACTCAGGGGTTTTCGGGGTCGCTGATTACGAATCCAATATCAGTTTTTCAAAATTCAAAATGGCGGATCCAATATGGCGGACGACTTTTTTAAAAATCACATCTTATTGCTTGATTACATATCCGATGTCAGTTTTTCATAATTCAAAATGTCAATAAGATGTGATTTTTAAAAAAGTCGTCCGACATTTTGAATTTTGAAAAACTGATATTGGATTCGTAATCAGCGACCCCGAAAACCTCTGAGTAATTAATTTCAAGCGAATCTGATCAATTTTAGAAAATGTCGTCCGCCATATTGGATCCGCCATTTTGAATTTTGAAAAACTGACATTGGATTCGTAATCAGCGACCCCGAAAACCCCCGAGAAACCAGTTGTAGCGAATCTGAGCATATTTAATTTTTGGTATTTTAACCCCGTTTAACCCCTCTAAACCCCCATTTTAACACTATATCCAAAAAAACAAAGGATATGCTCCACTCAAAATGGTTATGAAATTAATATCCCTTTATACGGCGCATTTTAGAATATGTTTGATAGAAAAATTCGCGGTCCGAAAAATGGGCTAAATTAAGCGTCACTCTTTGTTATTAATATTTAGCCTCTCAGGATATAATGTTAAATTATCTTAAATATTTTTAAATTTCTTCATTTTCACTTTTTATGTATTTTTAGAAAAAAGTTTTTATGTAATGTTTGAGTATTGACAGTGATCATATTTGCAGTGATTGAAACGCCTGATGAGGTCCATCGTGTATGGTTGAAAAGCTTCGCGCTTTAAATTAATAATAATAAAAAAATGTTGATTACACAGGCACACAAAAAAAAAAAGTGTCGTGGCCGAGACACTACAGTAGTATATTCCCATGTATTTTTGGCCGCTGAATCCGAATCTGAAGTCCGAATGCTCAAATTGGTTCTTGAGTTTTTTGAGTTATTTAATTAACATAATTAATAATTAGTTAATTGGTTTTTTGAGTTATACTCAAAAAACGACTCAAAACACGAATTTGAACCAAAAAAATTAAAAAAATTTTTTGTGACATGACAATAGCATATTTCCATGTATTTTTTCCCGCTGAATCCGGATTCGAAGTCAGAATTGACAGATGTGCTCAAAATTTTGAGCTAAACTCAAAAAACGACTCAAAAAACCGAATTAAAATGACGAAAATGAAAAATTTTTTCTGTGACACTGCAAAAGTATATTCCTATGTATTTTTTCATGCTGAATCCGAATTCGAAGTCAAAATTGACAGATTTGCTCAAAATTTTGAGATAAACTCAAAAAACCACTCAAAAAAAGACTCAAAAATCCGAATTAAGATGAAAAAATTTTTTATGACACTACACTACTATATTCCCATGTACTTTTTCTTGCTGAATCCGTATTCGCAGTCAGAATTGACAGATTTGTTCAAAATTTTGAGATAAGCTCAAAGAACTGATAAAAAAAGCGATTTAAAATAAAGAAATGGCAATTTTTTGCTATGAGACTACATTACAGTATTTCCATATATTTTTACACTCGGATCTCGCATTTGAAGTCAGAATTATTCTAATGGCTCAAAATTTTGAGACACACAAGAAAATCTGTTAAGTTACAAAAATTAAAGTCAAGAAACTCTACTTTTCTTGCTAGTACACTACATTAGTATATTCACATGTTTTTACATCTGCTTCTAAATTCAAAGTTATAATTATTAAATTGGCTCAAAATTTTAAGTTAAATCCAAAAATGCTCAAAATTTAATTTAATGCAAAAGAGTTCATTTTTCTGGTATTCGGTAGTGTATTCTCATGAATTTTATATACGCTGAATACAAATTCGAAGTTAGAATTATCAGAATGACATAAAATTTTTTAGAACTCAAACCCTGGTTACAGGTACAAGCATGCATGTTTTTGAGCACTTTTAATGAAATCCAAAATTTTGAGCCACTTTGAAAATTCTGACTTTGGAATCACAGTGAAAAAATACATGGGAATACACTAGTGTAGTGTCATAGCAAAAAATTTCCTTTATTCATATTAAATGGCATTTTTATCAGTTTTTTGAGTTCATCTCAAAATTTTGAGCAAATCAGTCATAAATCTGTCAATTCTGACTTTAAATGCGAGATTCGATATGGAAATACTGTAATGTAGTGTCATAGCAAAAAATTTCCATTTCTTTATACATGGGAATATAGTAGTGTAGTGTCATAAAAAATTTTTTCATCTTAATTCGGTTTTTTTAGTCTTTTTTGAGTGGTTTTTTGAGTTTATCTTAAAATTTTGAGCAAATCTGTCAACTTTGACTTCGAATTCGGATTCAGCATGCAAAAATACATAGGAATATACTTTTGCAATGTCACAGAAAAAATTTTTCATTTTCGTCATTTTAATTCGGTTTTTTGAGTCGTTTTTTGAGTTTAGCTCATAATTTTGAGCACATCTGTCAATTCTGACTTCGAATCCGGATTCAGCGGGAAAAAATACATGGAAATATGCTATTGTCATGTCACAAAAAAATTTTTTAATTTTTTTGGTTCAAATTCGTGTTTTGAGTCGTTTTTTGAGTATAACTCAAAAAAAAGAACCAATTTGAGCATTCGGACTTCAGATTCGGATTCAGCGGCCAAAAATACATGGGAATATACTACTGTAGTGTCTCGGCCAGGACACTTTTTTTTTTTGTGTGCCTGTGTTATTGAATAAAAAACCATTAAACATCTTTATATAAAAATTTATGTTTATTTTATTTTAATACACGTAATATAATAATAAAATTAAGAAATAAACAAATGTTCAACGTTTTAATAATTATATACCTAATAAATAAAAATAAAAAGTTATCGGAATACAATTTAGAATTAGGTCATTATATCGATAAAGAATGGATCTTCCAATCATTAACATTAGAATCGATTAAATGAACCATGCGGGAATATAAAGGGAATAAAATATACTTTCGTTTAGAATTAGAAAATTTTTGAAAAGTTTATTTTTTAATAATTATTTAATAAATTTTTTATAAACAATTTATTTTTTTTATGTTCTGCGCCTTTTAAAAATTTGAAAAACATCTCAACATACAATTAAAAATATAGGCAATCAAAATCCGTTGAGAAAATTTAGGATCAACAAAGACACCGACACACAAAAAAAGATTCAGATTCCCAGGACTGTCATGTGGTGGCGGGGTTTGAGTGAAGTTTGAGAAACTAATTTTTATGGAAATTTACTTAATTTCTAGACATAAAGCTCAATTTTTGCTTCTTCTAAATGTTTTTCTGAATTCAGTGACTTTAATAACATAAGAATTGAATATATAAAAAAAATTAAAATGGCGGATCTAAAATGGTGAATTTAAAAAAAAATTCTTCAGATTTCCTTGAAACTTGTTACTCGGGGGTTTTTGGGGTCGCTGATTATGAATTTGACATCAGATTTTCAAATTTCAAAATGGCGGATCCAATATGGCGGACGAAATTTTTAAAAATTCTTAGCATTTACTTGAAACTCGTTACTCGGGGGTTTTCGGGGTCGCTGATTACAAATATGATGTTAGTTTATGAAAATTCAATATAGCGGATCCAATATAGCGGACAAAATATATTTAAATGAATGAAATCAATTGAAACTTGCTACTCCGTGGTGATTTTCGAGGTCGCTGAATACGAATCTGATGTTGGATAGTCGATAATTTTAAATCTAAATTTTTCATAATCCAGAAATGGTTTACTGTAAATGTTTTACTAAAATTTAATCGCATTTCTGTAATACTACAATCTCAAAAAGTTTTTGACCTATGTAAAATTAGTTTCCTTGTTTATTTATTTTCTTTTTTTCTATTTTTGCGACTAGGACATCTCCCCGTGGTGAAGGCGGGCAACGAATTCTCGGGTAAGTTTCTAGGTTGAAATTATGCCTTCATGGCAAAAGTAGGAAAGAAGTTTACGATGCAGAGGTGGGATAGCTCAGTATCGGCGGCTGGTTAGGTTGAGAAAGCGGGACCGCAGGCGTCGTCATCATACAACCGCAATGTTTTGCACGATTCACAGTGGGACAGAATCTGAAAAACTCGGCCGAAACCTCGAAAAAAAAGTTGTAGATAGACCGTTTTGCGCTATAGAATTTCGTAGAGAAGGTATTTCTATACACTATAGCAAAAGGAACTATAGCGTGGTTCTATGGTAACAAAAATACAGCAGTCGAAAGTTAACCTCTTCGCAGTGTCGTTTACACTGCAAAGCGTTAGCAAAAAGTTACAGTGCGAAAAATTGTGACAGTTTTTTCAAAAGTAAGACAATTTGAATCTGACAAAATGGAAAATACTCCTAAAGGTATGTACTTTATTGTAATATAGGACGTAAGAATGTTATTTTCGTTAAATGCTAAAAATATTATATGAAATAAGCTTATGTTTTCGAAATTTATTCTCCTAAAAACTAGATTTAAGTTACTCAAAAGTTGCTTATCCGTGAGATCCCGCTAAACTTTCTATTAGGAAATAAAGGTAGTAGTGTAGAGAATTGAAATCTGCAAAAAAAGTTTGCAACTTTTTGCAACTTTAAATTTTACGAACATAAATATCGCGCAATGTCATGTTGCACGGATCCACGTGTTTGACAACAGCGGTCAGCATGCTGTCTGCAGTGTATAGTACAATAGAAGTAAATAGAAGGGGATCTCAGCTGCTTACGAGACCCTTTTATATATTCTGTGATTAATTTGTCTAGGTATAGAATTATAGATAAATTTAGTCAATGTACAGGGTGTTCAAAAAGTATTACTTCTTTAATGTATTCATCTAATAAATAGTAACATAAAAAATAAAAGTAATTCTTATTATGAAGATAATATAATATACATAAATATAAAAAAATATATAAACAATATAATAAATTTTATATATATATATATATATATATATATATATATATATATATATATATATATATATACTTATTATATTTCTTTTATTTAATCATTTTTTATTACTATTAAAAACTACTTGATTATTTTTATATAATTATTTATAATTTATATTTATATATATATATATATATATATATATATATATATATATTTGTTTATAAAAAATAAATGTATTTATTTATTTAAAAAAATAATTTATTAAAAATTATTAAATAAAATAAATATATTAAGTAAAATGAAATAAATTAAATAAGGAAAAATGTAATAAATGTGTAAAATAATAACAATAATAATAAGAAAATAACTTAACTATTTGAAAATTTTATATTGATACTTATTGTTTTTTATAAGATTGCTTGTAGTATATTAATAAATAATTACAATACAACAAATTAACATCATTTTTAATTTTCTGCTTTAGATTTGCAAAAGGAGATCGTCGCTTGTACGAAAAGAGATCTATTTGATACTCTTAAAGGTCAGATGAATGCAGAATTGGACACTCAAATTAATATCATACAAAATTATCTAAACAAAAGTTCTGACAGCAGTTTTATTATTGATCCAGACCAAGTTGTTAATTTAAAGAAAACTTTATCAAAAATAAAATCAAAATGGAAGGAATCCCACCGAATAATTAAAAGATTTTTTACTACAAATAATGATTGGTTAAATGGAACAATAAATATTGTGGTAAGAAACTTTTTATATATATTGTTAAAACGAAATATGTTCTATTTAATAAAATAATAACTTCTATCTATGCCTATGCTTTTTTCAGTGCTCTCGTGCGATTCCTACGGATGCGGATGCAACTAAAGAAAATAAAGGTGGTCGACCAGCAAGTAATTTTGAGGAGTCCAGTGATCGATCGAAACGGCGTAAAACAACTAAAATGCGCGAAGATTTCACTGCAGAAGAATTATCGTATGCTACTCAAATGAGTCTCCGTTCATCTGGATCTGTAGACGCTGCTGCTGTTATAAAAGATATTACAACAACAACGCCTACTAGAGCATCACGATATAGAGCAGCTTTTAAATCTTCTTTAACACATCAGCCAATTGAAATGACTGGGGATGAAGCACTTGTAGACATTGTTGGATCAAAATTAACGAAGCAGAGCTACATTGGTATCCGGAGTTCATTGACACGAAAAAAATTTAATGCCTACCCGTCTTACAGAAAAGTTGTGGAAGCAAAGTCTCGTTGTTATCCATCAGATATTACTGTCACCGAGACTTCAGCAGAAGTCAAATTACAAAGTTTATTAAACCATACATGCGATCGACTGTTAATGGTACAAATGGACATATTAAACGCTTTAGATTTTGGTATTGTTAAAAATCTTAGATTAGTTTGTAAATGGGGTTGTGATGGTAGTTCAGGCCAGAGTGAATATAAGCAGCAGTTTTCTAGTCCTGATAGTTCTGATTCTCACATGTTTTTAACTTCGTTGGTGCCGTTACGAATTGTAGGCTTTGATGAAAATTTAAAAAAAGATGTCATTATTTGGAAAAAACCCAAAACCCTCGTCAACCCGCTTTTGTAGGCCTATAAGAATTCAATTTCAAAAAGAAACTGTTGATTTGACGCTAAATGAAAAAAAATACATTGACGATCAAACTGAAAATCTGCAACCTTTTACTACTGTTATTAACGGGGAGGAAATACGCGTAAAATTTGAAATGTATTTGACTATGATAGACATGAAGGTTTGCAATGCCATAACAAGCACAAAATCAGCAATGCGATGTTATTTATGTAACGCAACATCATCACAATTTAATGACATAAATTTAATGAAAACTCTTAATGTTGACGAAACTGCACTTGGTTTAGGTTTATCAACACTGCATGCATGGATTCGCTTTTTCGAATATTTTTTACACATTGGATATAAAGCACAAACTCAACAATGGAGAAAAAATAAGTTTTCGAAAGAAGAAATCGAACAGCGAAAACGAGTTATTCAAGGAGCGTTTAAAACTCAACTTAGTTTAAATATCGATAAACCGAAAGTTGGCGCAGGTAATACTAACGACGGAAACACAGCTAGGCGTTTCTTTGAACATTTCGACATATCAGCTAGAATTTTAGGAGTGGATGCAAATTTAATGAAACGGGCTTACATTATTTTGCAGGTAATGTCCAGTGGTTTCGCAGTAAATGTTGATCTTTTTCAAAAATACTGCTTGGAAACCGCAGAAATGTGCGTCTCTTTGTATTCATGGTATAATATGTCTACAACAGTACATAAAATTTTAATTCATGGGTCTACAATTATTGAATGGTCTCCGCTCCCAATAGGAGTAATGTCTGAAGATGCCCAAGAAGCTCGAAATAAAGACATCAGAAATTTCAGAGAACACTTTTCGAGAAAGTGTTCCAGATCTGCCACCATGCAGGACGTTTTCAATCGTCTACTCGTAACGTCTGATCCCTTTATTTCAAGTATGGGAAGGAATCACCCGAAAAGTAAAAAAATTCTGTCAGAAGAAGTAACACGATTGTTATTAGGCACAAGTGGGGAACAAAGACTGTATGGAATTGATTATTCTGAGGTCTCTTCTACAGATGATTCAACAGATATGGAGATTGACGACTTTGATTTTTAATCAACCAAATTTTTTTAGTTTTTTTGCTAATGCATATGAGATTTAAAAGATAAGGTTTTTATTGTATAAAATAACTAAGATTTATATATTACATCATTTGACGAAATACATCATTAATAATCATGACAACTCTTGAAAATCAATTTTTGTGAAAATCCAAATACTTTTTAAAATACTCGTCCGCCATATTGGATCCGCTATCTTGAATTTCGAAAAACCCACTTTAGATTCGTAATCAGCGACCCCAAAAACCCCTATAAAACAATTTTTGTGAAAATCCAACTACTTTTTAAAATACTCGTCCGCCATATTGGATCCGCCATTTTGAATTTTTGAAATCTGACTTCAAATTCGTAATCAGCGACCCCAAAAACCCCTATAAAACAATTTTTGTGAAAATCCAAGTACTTTTTAAAATACTCGTCCGCCATATTGGATCCGCCATTTTGAATTTTTGAAATCTGACTTCAAATTCGTAATCAGCGACCCCAAAAACCGTCGAGTAACGAATTTCAAGCGAATCCGATGAATTTTTCAAAAACGTGTCCGCCATCTTGAATTTCGAAAAACCAACTTTAGATTCGTAATCAGCGACCCCAAAAACCCCCAAGTAAGAAATTTTATGCAATTTTAAAAACATCTAGAGGTTTTGGCCAGGTTTTTGTCAATCTGTCCCACTGTGCGATTGTGTAGATAATTCCAACTGTTTCTGCACGGAAAAAAAAGTACGTGAAAGTTTCATTGACTTGGTACTTGACTTTTGGATACGACACAAAATACTAAAAAGAGTCTAGTCATTTTGCATGAGAGTTTCAAAAGCAGTCAATGAAATATTCTAGTACCTTGCTTGAGAATTTCATTGACTTTCAAAAAAATTGTAAAATAAAAAAAATAATTTCCACTTGTTCACACAGTTTTTCTGAAATTCACTCATTCATTCACATATATTGATAATTAATCACACAAACAAAGAACAATTATTTTATCACTTTTCGACGTTCGTCAACACTTATGAACTAACCTATAACACACACATATATTCGCGTATAACTTAAATATAAACACACACTTAACACTTAAAAGTACGTATCGAATTGTTCTCGAATTGTTTTCTCTTATATACCACATGGTGAAATTTTTCACGACTTCTGAGACATGCTATTTCACTGAAAACTGATACTTACATAACATTCTGTTTTGTGAGAAACACAAAATTAAAAATATTTTTTTGAAAGTCAATTCTTGAAGACAAATATATATTAACACTATTTGTTTTTCATAAAATAATAGTATATTCACATCTGAAATTAACACAAATGGAAACAGACGATCAGCTGGCATTTACCTTGGGTAGAAACGCGCAACGCACACTGCGCATGCTCTACAGAATTTTCAAGCGCAGTCAACTAATCTTTCACGTACTTTATAAAACTGAACAAATGACTTTTCGTTAAAATTTAAAAAACACTGTTGCCCATACTAGTACTAGAATAACTCTAGGACTTTTCTATATTTTCTAATAAGAAGTATATAATACAGCCTTGTATTTTGTGTCCTATCCAAAAGTCAAGCACTTTCAAGGAAGGATTCACGTACTTTTTTTTTCCGTGTGCTTGGTTTGCAGTAAGTTTGTGGCTCCATAAAGTCGGAAAAAAATCAATGCCAAAATTAAAGAAAAATTATAAAAAAGGTTTTAATATGAAATTTCCAAGTTTTAATGAACTTTGGATTCCTAATGACATGTGCAGCAGTTGTTACCTCATGTTGAAAACATGGGAAGAGGGTAAGAATATAAAGTATAAATTCCCTACTGTTTGGCTAAAACCTAAAAATTGCAAGGATTGCTAATTTTGCAACACGAATCTTAAAGGGACAAACAGCAGGAAGAAAAAAGCAATTCGTTATCCTGAAACAGCTTCAGTAGTTTACTCGGTATTAAGAAATATAAGCATTGGTAATGTTGAAGACAATAAAGATTTTGATTTGAATTCTGAAACTGGCAATGATAATGACAAAGGCGATAATACTACTATTAGTGATGTTGATAATGATGATGAAGATGTCAGTGAACGTGAGGATAATCCATTGAAACAAAAGTCAAAATACCTATAGTTTGGACACAGGAGAAGCTAAATGACGTGATAAGAAATCTTGGACTGTCAAAAGATGAAGCTGAGTATTTAGCAGCTAAGATGAAACAAGACAATGTGCTTGCAAGTAATGTCACGTCATCTACATATCGAAACAGGGAAAAAGAATATACCGAATTTTACGAAGAAGATGAAGACCATTCGATTGTTTATTGTCATGATGTAATGGGACTAATAGATAAATTAAAGCCTAACGTTTACAAAAATCATGAATGCCGACTGTTTATAGATGCCTCCAAGCGGAGTCTTAAGGCTGTTCTTTTACACAATACAAATGTGTATGCGCCAGTTAGCACATAGTTTGCTTGGAATTTCTAGGAAATAAAAAAAGCCGCAGATATAGTGAAATTTTATAAAAAATGGTAGAGAATTTTAAAAAGCTGGGATGTTTGATTAGTTATAAAATTTACTTTTTGGATTCACATTTAGATGAATTTCCTGAAAATCTTGGTGATTTTAGCGACAAACAAGGCGAGACATTTCACCAAGATTTAAAGGATATGGAGAACCGATAACAAGTAAATTGAGTAAGAATATGTTAGCGGACTATTGTTGGACGCTGAAAAGAGATATACCAAAGAATAAAACTTCAAAGAAGAGAAAAAGAGCTCCTCTCCGGAGATCAGTTGAAACTAAGAGGGTAAGGTACTCAAGACATAGAAATTCAGAAATCTGTTCTTTTTTGTCCGCCATATTGGAACCGCCATATTGAATTTTTATAAACTAACATCATATTCGTAATCAGCGACCCCGAAAACCTCCGAGTAACGAGTCTGAAGTAAATGCGGGGAATTTTTAAATACTTCGTCCGACATATTGGATCCGCCATTTTGAATTTTGAAAATCTGATGTCAATGTTTTTCTCTTTAGATACACCTTAACCCATTAACGCCCACCAGGACGCAAAATGTGCCATGATTTCACGACTCTTATTTTGTATGAAATAATTAGTTAAAAATTTTAGGAAATACCATTTCTGACGTAAAATTTATCGCTCTTTCGAAATATGAAGCTAAAATTTGTTTATAATTATCTCAAAAAAATTTCTAACAATTTTATTGCAAAAAAACACATTTTTTTACGAAAAAAACTTTGTCAATTATTATTTTGACATGGAAAACTAAAGAACATGGTCCCAAAAGCACAAAATATCGCGTTCTCGAACTCTCAGCTATAAAAATCCATAAATCCTTTTTTTAAAATTCAAGATGGCGGATATAAAAATGGCCATTTTTCCAAAATGCAAAAGGCCAAATAAAAATTTCAGGTAATGTTTTTCAAAAATTATTAGATTTGCTTCAAAATGGTTACTTGGGGGTTTTTGGGGTCACTGATAATGAATCTGATGTTGCTTTTTTAAAATTCAAAATGGCGGGCCCAATATGAGGGACGTATTTTTTAAAAAGTGATTGGATTTGCTTGAAAATAGTTACTCGGGGGTTTTTGGGGTCGCTGATTACGAATCTGATATCACTTTTTCAAAATTCAAAATGGCGAATCCAATATGGCGGACAATTTTTTAAAAAGTAATTTATTTGCTTGAAAATGATCATTGGGGGGTTTTTGAGGATGCTGATTACGAATCTAACATCAGAACAATATTATGTTTATCCTCCACGTCCGTTAACCGTCAACAAAATTTTATTGACGTTGTCCAGCTCTTACCACGAAGGAGGTCGACGTGCAAAAAAGCCACTTTTTTTATTTAAAATTTTTTTTTGGATTTTGCCTCGAAAAATATTGCTACTATCATGCAAAATGCAACAAAAGGACACAAAAATTGTGCATTCAATGTGGCATAAATATGTGCGTCACTTGTTTT